TTCCACTCAGCCAGCCTTCCTGTGGTTCTGGATGATGTCCGTTATGTCTTTTAGTTGTATTTTTGAAGTGGTTGTGCAAGGCAGCAATCTCTGGTGTTTACCTATGCCGCCATCTTGGTTTCTCCATCAACCTCTAATGTTAATATGGCAACTACAGCTGTCTTTGAATTAGTGTTAGCATGATATGTCTTTTTTCATTCTCTTGACTGATAATGTGTTTTTATATGCAAAGTGGGTTTCTTCTCCACTTAATAAACATAGCTGGAATTTTGGAATACAAAATTACCATAATGTCCTAGCTTGTTTGGCTCAGTGGATAGAGTGTCAGCCCTCAGACTGAAGGGTCCTGGGTTTGATTCTGGTTAAGGGCACATGCCTCAGTTGCAGGTCTGTGCAGGAGGCAACCAGTCAATGGTGTCTCTCTCACATCGATGTTTCTCTCTCTTTGTCTCTCCCTCTCCCTTCTACTCTCTCTATAAATCAATGGAAAAATATGCTTGGGTGAGGATTAACAACAACAACAAAAATTACCATGAAGCACACACTTTAGTAAAACATGAATGGATGAAAGTTTGAGGGGAAACAGTTTATTTATATAATTGCAAAGTAGTTCCCCTATAACATTTATTAAATATATTTTTATTGATTTCAGAAGGTAAGGGAGAGGGAGAGAGAGATAGGAATAGAAACATCAATGATGAGAGAGAATCATTAATTGGCTGACTCCTAAATGCCCCCCACGGGGGCTGAAGCCCACAACCTGGGTATGTGCCCTGACTGGGAATTGAACTGTGACCTCCTAGTTCATAGGTCAATGCTCAATCACTGAATCACATTGGCTGGCCTCCCTGTGATATTTATTAATTACAAAGGGAAAATAACTTTATTTTTTTAATATATATTTTTATGATTTCAGAGAGGAAAGGAGCGGGAGAGTTAGTGATGAGAGAGAATCATTGATTGGCTGCCTCCTGCACACCCCACACTGGGAATTGGGCCTGCAATCCCAGCATATGCCCTGACCGGGAATCGAACCATGACTCCTAGGTCATAGGTCAATGCTCAGCCACTGAGCCACACTGGCCAGACGAGAGAGTAACTTTATGTGGAGAATTTTGGCTGGCACCACCTTAAACAGGTGATCAAGTTAGCATCACCAGTTATAAGACTTAATTATGTCTCGTATACTCTGATATAATACACTGAGAAGGGCACATCACCCTTGTTGTCTTCTTTCCCAAAATACATAACATTGATCTAATCTTTGGAAAACAGGCAAATCTAAATTGCTACAGAGGAATAATGCTTTAAATGTCAAAGTCATAAAAGACAAGAAAAGACTGAATAAGAACCATCACAGACTGAAGGATTCTAAAGAGACATAACAACTAAATACAGTGTGGGATCCTGGATTGGATCCTGGAACAGAAAAAAGACATTAATAGAAAAACTGATGAAACTTAAATTAATTCTGTAATTTACTAAATAATAGTATATGAATGTCAGTGTCCTAATTTTGATAGTTTTACTGTGGTTCTATAAGGTTGCATTAGGAGAAGCTGGGTCAAGAGTATACAGAAACTCTATACTATTTTTGCAACTTTTCTTTAAATTTGATAATATTTCGAAATAAAGGTATACAGTAAAAATAATAAAGTGGATCTGTTACAGGGCAGCATAGTTGAATGTTGTCTTTTAAAATCCAGTCTGACAATCTGCCTTTTGATTGATCTTTGATATATGATTATTTTAATACTAGAGGTCTGGTGCATAAAATTCATGCACGGAGGGGGTGGTCCCTCAGCCCGCCTGCACCCTCTTCAATCCGGGACCCTTGACTCCTAACCACTCACCTTCCTGCCTGCCTGCCTGATTGCCCCTAACCGCTCTTCCCTGCCGGCCTGATCACCCCTAACTGCTCTCCCCTGCCAGCCTGATCGCCCCCTAACTGCTCTCCCCTGCCGGCCTGATCGCCCCCTAACCTCCTCTGCCTTGTCCCCTGCCACCGTGGCTATGTCCGGAAGGACATCCAGAAGGATGTCAGGTCTAATTAGCATATTACCCTTTTATTAGTATAGGTTATTATTGACATAGTTGGGTTTAACTCTATCATCTAGCTATTTTTTTATTTGTCCCATCTCTTCTTTGTTTCCCTTTTTCTTTTTTTATCTGCCTTCTTTTGGATTAATAGAGTGTTTTTTATTTCACCTTATCTCTTTTGTTGGTTTATTAGTAATACCTTTTGTTTTTCAGTGGTTGCTTTAGAGTTTATAGTACATGTCTTACCAATATTACCAGTATACCACTTCATGTCTCATGTAAGAGCATTACAACATTTTCGCTTTCCTGGCCTAAGTGCTATTTCATACATTTTATTTCTGCATTCATCATAAACCTTAAATACCTTGCTATTCTTTTTTTCTATTGTGGTAAAATATGCATAACATAAAACTTACATTTTAATCCTTGTTAAGTATACAATTCAGTGGTATTAAGTATATTTACAATGTTGTGCAGCCATGCCATGTGAATAGCACCCTGATTAAGAAACAATATACCCTGGTATTGGTAATTTTTCAAAATACAGTTCTTTCTGGTGTAATTAGGTAAAATTAAAAGCATGCTAAATGACCATGACTAGATAATTTCCAGTTTTAAACTTTTTGAAACTGGGGTTGTATACTATACAAAAAGTTGTTCTGTTTATTTTTATAAACATCACTTATATTTTGTTTAATCAAGATATTTCTTCTTGGTAGTGGACTCTCGAAAAATTGATCAGGAGGGAAAAATCCCAATAGAAACATTGGAGAAACTGAAGAGCCTGGGGCTTTTTGGGATGCAAGTCCCAGAAGAATATGGTAAGTTTTTTTTTTCCGCCTGCTGGTTGTCTGTCTCTTAAGAAAGTACTCTATTTTTGTTTAAAAAAAGAGTTATTTTGGGGAAGGGTGGCCTTTTAAGTGCAGTATGTCCAAGATCGAGCTGTAAAACAGCTGGAATTAATAAAAACATCTGTCATTGGCTGAATACCAGATGGCTGGTTAGTGAGTGTGTGTGGACTGGCTCAGGGCAGAAAGTGTGCTTTTTTTCCCTCTGGAATGGACCAGAGACCACTGCAGGAGCTGATTGCATTGTCATCTCCACTGTATAGTCCTTTGGTCTCTGGCATAGGAATTGCCCTTGGAGCCACTTACGCTTCATGTTGGAGGGATAAATGTGTGGTGAGAGTTCATGTGCCAGGGTTTGGCTTCTCATACTGGTGCAGAGGAGTAAGGCATAAGGCTGTAGGGCACAAGGTACATCTAAAAAACCCTAACTTGTTCCATTACAGACCTAATGCTAGTGAGTGTTCAGTTTTGCTGTAATAAGTGTATTGGTATTAAACAGACTGAATTGTTCTCGAACCTGTGGCCTGTGGGGGATTTTACTAGGGACCTTCGAGCAGGCTCTGTGTCCTCTGGACTGTGCATAGCATCTGTGGAGCTTCATAGTGACATTTTAAGCCCCCAAGTGAAAGACCTTGTCTTTCTCCTCAGGATCCCAGAGTAATTCTGTTTATCAGATTTGGCTGATCACTTGTTTCTTTTTTTGCCTAATCTAGAGGTGGTCATCCCGGTTCTGTGGGATTAAGGGGACAGGCAAGAATTGTGTGCAGGGAGAGGGATAGACAGTGTCTCAGAGACAGACACAGTCATACGCATGCATGGGCATGCACACCCACACACAGTTTTTACTCTCAGGCCCTTTTGACATGAAAGTGTGGCTCTAGGTTCTCAGCCTGCACCCACTTCTCTGAGCCCTCTTCTTGAGGCTTTGCTGGCTGGGGCTGCTCCCATTGTGATCAGCTATGGGGCAGGAGTTTAGGGGAGAGTTAGTCGTGCTTTTAGCGCTGGGTGTATTTCATGGGTGTAGCTGTTCATCTGGAGGTTTTTAGTATTTGGGGCATTTTTCCAGCCATATTTTAAATTAGGTTTGCATAGCAAATCACAGAATCCAGGAGCTTGTCTTGATGGTCTATCTCAGTGGTTCTCAACCTTCCTAATGCCGCGACCCTTTAATACAGTTCCTCATGTTGTGGTGACCCCCAACCATAAAATTATTTTTGTTGCTACTTCATAACTGTAATTTTGCTACTGTTATGAATCGTAATGTAAATAAATATCTGATATGCAGGATGTATTTCCATTGTTACAAATTGAATGTAATTAAAGCATAGTGATTAATCACAAAAACAATATGTAATTATTTATGTGTTTTCCGATGGTCTTAGGCGACCCCTGTGAAAGGGTCATTCTACCCCCAAAGGGGTCGCGACCCACAGGTTGAGAACCGCTGGTCTATCTTCTTCCCTGTTTTACCTAAGAGACTAAAGTTATACCACCCAGCCCCTGCACCCCAAGTTGGGCAGCCATAAGTAGGGGACCCTCAATGTTTGTAGAATAAGTACCCATCCTGGAACTGGTCCATTGTGAGACAAAATGTGAAAATTTAGGACAAATTAGTGTGATATCTAATTTCCTTGATTCTGAGGCATAGCTTAATCAGGCTAAATCTTACATTATATGTATGTTTATTGCTTTGCTTTAAACTGTTCAATGGTGTATCTTTTTTTTTAAGGTGTATTTTTATTGATTTCAGAGAGGAAGGGAAAGGGAGAGGGAGAGAGAGAAAGAAACATCAGTGATGAAAAAGAATCATCAATAGGGTGCCTTCTGCATGTCCCCCCACTGGGGATTGAGCTGCAACCTAGGCATGTGCCTGTAACCTCCTGGTTCATAGGTCGATGCTCAACCATTAAGCCACAACGGCCAGCCTAAATGGTGTATCTTACTTGTCATTGTATAAAAGACCTTTCATCACATTTCCAAATGTAGAAAAATATTCTTTTATACAGAAGACATAAAATAATCATGGATGTTGCTCCCCCACAAGTGTTGGAATTCACAGCACAGACCTCTACAGCCAGACTTTCTATTTCTTAACAGAAATCTGCAGCCTCTGAGTGAGGTAGGGGGAGACTGCATTCTTTCAGACACCTGAGACTTGTCAGTATTATAACTCACAAGTGACAGGGGAGTTATCTGCCATAACACACGGGCTGCATTGAATACTAGTTAGCAAGCAGGTGGGGGTAGAGCTGGAGAGTGGTGGTTGGTCTGTCATCCACTGGAAAATATAAGTGCTTGGAGTAAGCAAATATCAGGGGGAAGCCTCTAGACCAGTGATGGCGAACTTTTTGAGCTTGGTATGTCAGCATTTTGAAAAACCCTAACTTAACTCTGGTGCCGTGTCACATATAGAATTTTTTTGATATTTGCAACATAGTAAAACCAAAGATTTATATTTTTAATATTTATTTTATATTAGAGGCCCGGTGCACAAAAATTTGTGCACGGGGGGGGGGGTGTGTCCCTTAGCCCGGCCTGTGCCCTCTCGCAGT